GCTGCTGCAGCTGTGCATGGGGATGCAGGGAGAAACCGCGGAGATTCTGGGGCTGGCTTGGAAGTTGGACAAAAGAAGGTTAATTTTTTTTCTGATTATGAAAGGAATCGTTCAAACAGACGTGCCTTTTCTAGCCTTTTTCTACATGATGCCGTCTTTGAGAGAGAAAATATTTACAAATAAGTGGGACTGTGGTTTCACTCAGGGCATGAGTGATATCCAAGGGGCCTTAGGAAGGTCCGAGCTCGTGCTGGGTCTGTGGCCTGAGGGGCCCGGCCGGGCGCGGGGCTGCCGCACAGGAGTCGCGAGCGCCTTGTCTGTCCTGAGCGTGCACTGGGCCCGGCAAACTGTCCGCCGTCCTGCCATCTGTCTGCGGGGTCCTTTGTCTGGTCGACAACATAAAGTACAAGAAATAGATAATCTAAGTCACAGACCTTCTTTGTGATCCTTACGTGGCGGTCGTCGGCAGCGTACAGGACTGTCACGCGGTGCTTTCGGCGTGTTGACGTCCTGGAGGATTTCTAAAGGTTTTGAATTGAATCTGCTGGGGGGATGCTGGCTGATAAAATGATACAGGCTTCAGGCACACAGTTCTACAAGTGTCTGCATATTGTGATGTCCTGGGTGATTGTAACTTTCTTAGTGAAACCGTGCATCGACACGTATGTAGTTCAGCACGAAGTACGACTGAGGAAGCTGCACGTGGAAGCGTGTGGCTGTACCCGCGGGAAACGGGGAGTAAGTGGAACTGAGGTGCTTTGCTGTGACGGAGATGCTCGTGCGTCTCAGGCGGCCGTCACACTGACGAACTGAGCACCTGGTGGTGGTGCCGTTTACGGAGTTTCCGTGGAGGTGCTTTGTCTCGTTTCTCTGGGAAACCCCATGAGAAGCGACGTGCAGACGCTCAGTGCTTGCTCCTCTCTGCCAGGCCCCGGCAGTCACTGACCAGCCTGGCCACGGCCGTGAAGGAGATGGAGGAGATCCCCGCCTACCTGCCCAGCGGGGCGGTTCTGAAGGACTCGGTGCAGAGAGCCAGGGACTGGCTGCAGGACGTGGAGGCCCTGCAGGTCGGTCAGACGGCCCGAGGGTGTCGGTGTGTCTGTTGAGAGCGAGACGGGAAGTCCGTGCAGGGACCATGCTGGGCTTCACTGCGCAGGCCCGTCGTCTGGGTGGCCCGGGCTTTCTCCCTTTTCTGAGTTGCTCTCTTTTTTCTCGGTCAGGCTGGAGGGCGTGTGCCCGTGTTGGACACGCTGGTGGAGCTGGTCACGCGAGGCCGCTGCATCCCCGTGCACCTGAGCCCCCTGCCACGGCTGGAGTCCCTCGTAGCGGAGGTCCAGGCCTGGAAGGAATGTGCTGCCAACACATTCTTGATGGAGAACTCCCCGTACTCCCTCCTGGAGGTAAGGGCAGTGGCCGCAGGCAGCCCCTCGGTTCCCAAACAGGCACCACGGACCCGTCTGTGCTGCACGCGCTGCTGTTCAGTAGAGCAGGGAGCGCCTCCTGAGCTTGGAGCGATGGCAGGGCCCAGTGTTGGTGGCGTCGGGAGGAGGGTGCTCGGTGTCTGGGGAGGGAAGGGCTCTTTCTCT